GTCAAACCTCTTCACGCTGAAAAGTGTGAAGGACTAAAAGACCACACACACTAAACAGGACTCAAGACGGCGAGATACTTCGCCAAGCCGGTCAAGCTCCAAGGACGCCTTGACCGAAGGCACGCACACTGCCGCTTTTGTGAAGGATGATGTATGCACCTCCGTCACGCTGACTGACATCGCCGCTCGGCCGTTGTAAACACCCTGGGGCTTGATGTGGCATTGGCTTACGGTGTCGGTCTATACAGCGCTGTGTGTACGTTCTGCTGCGTGTGATGAACCACACCCGGGGTTTGTTCCAATTATCCAGTGTGGGGTGCTTAGACGGTTTTCTCGGGCTCTGCGCGTCGTCACCATTGTGTGGATGGGGTCGGGGCTCAGAGAACCAGCTGTCTCGTAGTGTTCGTGACATAAAAAGATTGCTGTTGTGGTGCGTGATAAAAACTACGTCAGCAGCTTGTTTTTCCTTCCCCGACGTCTGGGAGACTTCACGCACCCCTTTTTTGTGTTAGTGCACACATGGTCAGCCAGCGGCGCCCTTCCAAATGACGTCGATGTCGGTGGCGGCAGCTCTCGTTAGCCCTCCTCGCAGTGTGTCACTGTTTACTGACAAGGTGGCGGTACGCGGTCTGAAGAGTGGCGCTGAGTCGGCGCGGCCGCCGCCGCTGGGCCGCCGCCGGCTCCGGTTCCTGGGATCCGCTCAGTGTGGCGCGCCGGCGGCCGTCGCCGAGCCCGCGCGCGGCACGGGGTCGCCGGGCTCAGGGAAGGTCGGCGGGGCGCGCGCTCCGCCGCACTCAAAGGCACTCAAGTTGTGCGGTGTGAGATGCCCTAAAGTCCGTCCCGCGCCCTGCGCTACGTTACTAAGGGGAAGCTGCCGTCGTATCGGTCCGCTGTTGGTGAGGTTTGAAGTTCCGTCATCTCTTGTGAAGTTCAGGCCCCAACAAAGTGCAGAAGTACCTTTAGGGTTTTCAACGCCTGCGGGATGCATGTGAAAAATGCTTTAACATGGGGATCGTGAATTGTGCGTGTATCAGGGATGAGGACGAAGCCGGGTTGGGCTTTGGCTTCGCCTAGCCAGTGTTTGTGCGCTGGGTTCGAGTTCGGCTTCGGCTTTGTGCCATGTACAACAGTTGACTACGGCTCCAGTTTTGTATCATTCTTAACAGCTGGTGTTGAGATCGGCTTCGCCTTCGAACATTTTTGAATGATAGCTCCGACTTTTGCTGCATGGGATCTTGAGTTACGGGTTTGAATATCGCCATGGCGATTTTTCCACTGCAATTGCGCCGTTGCCTTTTAAAAACAATGTTGTTCCTCCTGTCACACCCCAGAGCACCACGTCGTTTTTAAGGCAGTGGTACAGACGTGGCTGAAAGCCAGAAACTAGCCGATCGTTTTCAGGGACGTTTAGCACTGGACGACAGGCAGAGAACTAAATGTCCGAGACGTTGTACGCATACAGGGCGTTTCATGGGAAATTCAGTTTTAAAAAGTTTGTTATGATATTTGAAGATTTTGACATGTGTCAGTGCTCATCTGCCAAGCAAAACGTCTCCATGGCAGCCCTCCGAATGCGAACGCACTTCTCCAAGTTCTAGAATGGCCCACACCTATCAAGGTCTTGCAAATGGATATCGTTTTCAGCCGCTCAGCGCGAGGACCAAGGCCTGCACCTCTAGTGTCCAGGCCACACTGATCGCGTGAAAGAAACCAATCAAAATTCTCGGCAATTGTTAGTAATCGCTGCCAGATAGCACGTGCCCGGCTGATTTTAGCATCCTTGCTTGCACGTTTAAAATGGACATTCCACGTTAACACGCTCTATAGTAGCATACAAGACGAGAACAACGGGTAGAAAAATATTCCCTCCGTCATGTTAACACCTCGTCCCAATTACGCGTCAAAATCCTGATACTTTTTTATTCCATACAGCCCTAGTTGGGCGAAAATATGTTCTCATCACAAAACAAGGTTGCACAATATGTTTGGCTCCTGCTTCGGCCTCGTGATTGTTGAGGCTGCTGGCTTCGGCTTCGGCTCCGTGTGTACAAAATTCGAAGCCACTAGCTTCGCGTTGGAAAAAAAAAACGGAAGCTACTAGTTTTGGCTTCGCAGTTCCAAACTTCAAACCAGCTCCGGCATCTAAGTGGGATTCATGGCATTGTCTTGGCTTCGGATTTGGCTCGTAACCCCAAGTCACTCCCGGTCGAAAATTGTGCTGACTATGTCAGCTAGATCGAAAATACGTCTGTTGCCATCAACATTTTTTCTAGGATAGGAATGATGCCTTATCGTTACTGCTATTTCCCGTTGCGTGACCCATATACTTGTTTTGTAATGATTACCGCGTACCGATCGGTATGAAGGGAAGCCCGGAAACTTTGCCCTTCCGTCTGAATGCAGACTGACCGTCACACCACTGTTTGCCATTGTGTGTTAGGCCGCGTGTCCTTTCGTTGGTACCATCTCCGTTTCGTTGTTTTGCCTGCGACCGGACTGACGCCCAATGTGGTTTTTAAACAGGATGTATGACCGTGCATGGTTTGCACTGAATTATTCGGGCAGGCCATCGCGTCCGCCGTGCGCCTGACTGTGCCAGTAGACCCGCCACGAACTTAACCGACGTCGGCAGAAGCTCGTCCGGAGCAGATATGTGATCACTCTGCGACTGGGCAGAGTGATCACATATCAGAGATGGGCTAGGTGTCTAGACAGATTACAGAAGTGCTCATAGCTCAATGCCCTGTGGTGGAGCTGAACACCGCGCCGTCCCGTTAGTCGAGCTGACTGAGCGCATGATTCAGGGCACGGCGTGTGGCGGTCGATATAATTGAACTGCGGGAACCCGTGTGGCTGCGAGCCTCAACACGGTGCGAAAGGCCGCCGCCAGCGGGCAGGAGGCCCTGCCCGGGAGCGCGACGGCCGTGTATGTACCGTCCGAGTGGCCAGCCGCTGCCGTGTCGTGTGGTCCGGCGCTCTACAGCCCCTCTGCGGTCTCGTGGGGTTCAAAGGGCGCGGGAAAGTCCGATGTCGTCCTGGCTGTTGGGGTCGGCCTAGTTATAGTTTGGCCTTTTAAAGTAGAGCGCGTATTCCATACCTAAGTGTGCGTTTTTCCGGAGCTCATATGATTAAAGCTGCATCGTCAGCTGACCCTATGCATTAAGTTCTCTCGTTGTCGCCGTAGATCGACTTCCTGCACGCTCTGTTCGCCGGGGTTACCACGCCGGGGATCACGTGCTCCGACGACCCATTGGCACTGCAGGCGGCTGAGCTCGAGCTCGGTGACGGCGCAGCATGCAGCGAGCTGGACAGGGTGTCTCGAATTTGATGCACGGTTGTATTGTCCTCAATAACAGAGAAATAATTGAGATGGGTCCATGATTTATTTGCCAATGTAATCCCCACGGAATCGTATACACCGTCGCATACGCTCCGGCATGCCGCGCATCAGGTTGTCGATAGTCTGTGTCCTGACCCTTCGCCACGTCGCTTGCACGTTCTGAAACAATGTCTTCTCTGAAGTGGCCGGCGACATCTTGCTGAGCTTCTTGACGATCGCCCATAGATTATCGATCGGCGACATGTCGGGGCTGTTGCCTGGCCACGTACCGCTCTCCCAGAAGCCCGGGAAGTTCGCATGGCACCAGTCCTGGGTCTTCCTGGCGTGATGAACTGGAGCGCCGTCCTGCTGGAAAATCGCCCTCGACATGTCTGGCAGAAGTTTGACCTTGGTTGGCGGGCCATTCGCCTTCCTCCGCTGCATCGCCGAGGCTGCAGTCTTGCGCGGGAATTCGTGTGGCTCAGAGAGGCCTCTGTAGCTCATCATGCTCCAGACAACAGTCTTTAGCCTCCTTTAGCCTTTTTAACTGTTTCACTGTCTCGGCGATCGGCACCTCCGAGCTGTTGTTGGCCCAGACGCGGTCGGTCTGGCCGCTAGGGGCTTGGAAGAGCTCGAAGGGCGACTCGTCGCTGAACAGGACGCATCTCCAGTCCTGAACGGACCAGTTCTTACGGGTCTTGGTGAATTCCAGCCGCCCCGCTTTTGGTCCACGGTAAGCCTTGGCTGCAACCTGAGCTTGGGCGGCTTCAGTTGCAGGCTGATCTTCAGATACCGGTGAACGGCCGACTTGGAGGCTGTGTGCTTCTTCGCCGTCAGTTTTCTCGCCAGGGTTGTCGTCGAGTGGTGCCTTTTGAAGGCCGACTTTGCAATGAAAATCTTCACCACCCGGCCCAAGGCCGACTTCCGCCCACGACCTGTGCGGTTTCCGAGCGTCTCTCGTGAGCGGTCGCGGGCCAGCCAACGCATAATCGTCACTGCGTTGACGCCCAGATCCCTGCTGACCTGAACCTGGGTCATGCCGCCCCTGACCATCCGAACCGCGCGGTAGCGGATCGATGGCTTGTGCTCTTTCACCATTGGCGATATGCGGACCCGATGCGGTAGCGGATCGATGACTTGTGCTCTTTCACCATTGGCGATATACAGACTCGACGCGTCGGCTACCTCGAAAAGAATGACCTCTCCCGCCTCTACCGGCCGAGGTCAGGCCGGCCGCTAAGGCCATGTGATCGCGTGTCACAGCGGGACGCCCTGGGGCCGAGCGCAATAAAACTCGATCGGCGTTCGGGAGGGGCGAAAATGATAGGCGGCACCAACCGCGTATCAATTTCGGGACACCGTTGAACACGACCTGACTGGTCACTGACGGAGGGACTGTACAGCACGGCGTGGCTGGTCACCGATGGAGGAGGGCGGCGGAGGGCACCGGCGCGCGTCGATGGGTCGATGTCGGCCGCAAGACCCCGGTCGGCCGTGGCTAGGACTGAATGGTCCGATTGATCGCCCGCTGGCCTTGCCCGCTCCGGTGCTCCGGTTCTCTGGCTCAGGTTCTGGTACTCCAGCGCTCCAGCTCTGTTACGCCGGCGCTCTGGCTCCGGCTCTGGTGTCCGCTTGCGCCTCTAGTTGCGCCCCGACTGACTCAGCCGTTCGTCTGCCGCAGATCGCTACGTGTACGTCGGCAAGCTGCTGAAGCCGGGCGAGAAAGCCACCGAGTACACGGACGACGAGCACGACGAAGCGCCGCCGCCCGCCGACAAGAAGCACGACTGAGCCCCGGCCCGTCACCCAGTCGCCCTCGGCCGCCGCCGCCGCGCCGCCCGCCCCATGGCCGACGCGGGGTTTTAATGCATCGGCATTTTCACTAATACGCTGTGACTTGATGTGGCATTGGCGTTGTGCACCGTGCCGGCCTGTCCAGCGCTGTCCGGGCCGGATGACGGCTGCGCTCTGCTGTGCCCGTGCCGTGTCCACTGAGCGCTGTCCGACCGCCCTGGTGTCCGCGCTCGCTGGGTCGTGTCCGTGTCCGACCGCCGTGGTGTTCGCGGCCAGCGGGGCCGTGGCGTCCGCGCCCGCTGGTTTAAAGGCAGCGCCAGCTGCGGCCGACTGCGTTTTATGAGGCCCGCGCTGTTCGCGGCGGACGCGGCCAGGCCAGCCCGCCGCGCCGCCCCCGCTTGTGCGTTCTGTGTGCGGGCCCAGCCTGCTCCGGTTATCGTTCGTTGCGTTCTTTATCGTGTTCGTTTGGGGTTGGTGTGGCTCATCGGGACAATCGGCTCTGTGGTGGCTGTAGGCCGACACGCCGGCCGGGCCCGCCGCCGGCGGTCGATATTAATCACCGGAGTCGCGGTGCACGTACTTTGCAGCAAATATATTATGTACCGAACCGGGTGACACGTCGACGCATGGTAGCGTACAGAATGCGGACAAACGATGCCTGCTGGATAGCATGGATCTGCTCGAAGATGTAGGGTAATACAGTTAATGCAATAAGCCACTGCACGCAGGTATGCATTTATCTCCATGGATACTTCACGCCGGCACGTTCGCCCGCAAACCCTGGCGGACTCCGTCGCTGGCAAATGCTGGTGGTTGTGCGTGACTCGAGTCAGATTAATGATTGTTTTGCTCGCAGCATCTGGTTGGAATGCGTTTCGATGTGGCTATAGCAGGTAACCGAAGCTGGTCTTCGCTCGAGCCCCGGGTGCGTCATCCACCTGTCCGGGCCGCTGCATATGCCAATGCTGACTACTCAGCGTGCGCAACAGGACCGTGGTCCGAAGACCATTCCCTCCCTTGTTCGCTCCTCGTGGGATTACGGGGTACGTGTGAGGCAAATAGGAGTATCACCGCCACTCGGCCCAAAGTTGAAAGCCGAACAAGTATATCACAAAAAGTACTCTGGAGTGCCTATGAAGACGGGTAAGGAGCTGCAGCGAGAGGAAAGACAAAAATGTGAAATTTGTATCCCTACCACTAAGTTTTCTTGATCGGAACCGCGGACTTCGATTATCACTTCATGTTTCAGTTTGTCAATATGGTGCATTGCAAATTAGCATAAAATGTTTACTTGTTTCGTGACCACTGGACATGCTCCACCGTTGGAGGTAGGTGTAGATATAATCACTGGCTCAATCTCCATTGTCAGTGTTGAATCCGACGTGGGCTGGTTAGGAATGGTCAGTTGCTATGATTTGCATTACCTACGTCCAGGTGCTGCAACTTTGTGATGCCAGCGACATGAAGAGCCATCTTTATGCCGTACTGCGAGGCTGGGCTACTTCAAGATAACACAAAGTAGGGAACTCAAGATGGAAATATTGATGTATTTGACCTGTACATCGCCCGTAGCTGTCAAGTGCGTTTGTGAGGAACATTATGCACATTGATAAGAACGGTATTGATAGCCCTATTCCTCGGAGAAAAACCAGGAAAAAGTATATCCATTCTGGTTTTTCTCCAAGGAATAAGGTTTCAAGAACTGTCGTATGTATAAACATCGCCCGCCTTGTTACTTCTAACAGGATCCTCGCACCATATCACAGGTCTCTTGCGATGGAATCATTTCGTTCACGAGCAACTGTGCAAGTATTCGCTCCTCGTGTGGGGCCCGTGAACTCCTCGCATTGGAAACCCATCGTCTCTAGTACAGGCATAAAAAGCTGGCATGCTCTTGTCTATTTGGTGCCGCTCGAAGAGGCACATTGAGTATTTTTGTTACACAGAAGTTGTTTTGCGAAGGCTAGCCTGAACGTGTGCGCAGTGGGAGATGGATGCTGTGTGGTGCTACATTTGTTACAAAGTCGTTGAGGACCGTAGCGTTACGGCCGAGCTCAAAGCGCCAGGCAATATTTGGGGCGTTTGGGAGTTGTCCGGCGGCTGAAAAGCTGTCTTGTTGAGCTCATGCTTTTGTATTCGTTTAGAAGGAAACTGAATGGGAGTTCATAGGCTGGCCCTAACCTTCCTCACCTAGCAAATCGCACGCGGCCATATTCCGGAGGGTTGATGCCTCCCGACCGCATGCCGCGACCCGACAACGTCGCGCCACGTTCTGTCAGCCGGCAAGTTGGTTGTATTGCGCATTTGGCTTGTCAGACCAGATGCAGTTTGCCAAATCAGCAACCATTCCAGGGACACTACCGGGCCATGCAGTGGAGCGCCTGAAGGGCTCAATAACCACAACCCAGCAGCCGAGCAGGCAATATTTGATGAGCCCAATTCGAAAGCGCTGGATTTTTCCCACGGGTCCATCGCATCTATGCTCGCGAGTTAGTCCGCCCCAGCGTCTGATGAGCGGTGTATTGAACTCTGGCTGAAGTTCGCTCGGCGGCGGGGACCTGCGCCTGAAAACGGTCGGCCCCCCGCGTCCCCCGCCCAAAGTCGGTAGGGGTCAGCGGTCGGCGGGGCCGCCCGGTCCGCCTCCGGGCCCGGTGCGGTCGGCGGGGTCGCTCGGACCGCCTGCGGGCCCGGCGCGGCCGGCACGCCGCTGCAGACGGTCTCACACCTGTGCAGCGGCGGCCACCAGGCCCGTCGCCGGGGGAGACCTGGTGCAGGGCGGCAGCTGCTCCAGCGTTTACGCGTCCGCCCACACGTGTCTCTAACTGCCACTCCCGGAGGACGTGTCGGCGAGGGGGCGCTGCTTGGTGGGCTTCCCCGCGTCCGCCCGGACAGCTGGCCACCCGGCCAGGTTTTTGTCGAGTGGGGTGACCGGGACGGGCGTCGGGCCCGGGCCGCGGCCGACGCCGCCGCTCCGGGCCGGCGGTTCGATCGCCGCGGCAACAAAGTCCGATGTGCTGCCGCATGGCTCCGGCACTGCACGACCATAAGAATGGTATACTTGTGCACACAACGCAACCTGCCCTGAGCCGTTATATCGACGTCCCTTGGATGCGGCGACGTCCGCGGATCGCCTGTAGAGTGAAGCACCATGTAAATACGTGAGAATGCCACAACCAGCTGCTGTAACCAGGCATGTCCGCTAGTACACGTCAGCCACCACTTGCGCGGCCCCATGGCACGACGGGTAGCACGACCTGCGCCGTCTGACTGCGGTTGAGGCGCCCCGCACCAGCGCGCCGTGCGCAGACAGCCACGATGGATGCCTCCTCGGCAACAGCTAAAACGGCTCCCGAGCACGCGAACGGGCACGTTTATTTGCAGGAATGAAACGCACGGCTGCCGGACCGGACTCAGCCGTGTCACAGAGTCTGCGGCCGGCGCGACCCGCACAGACGCCAGACGGAAGGCCGGCCAGACATGAGCGCTCCGGCCCACCGCGTAATACCACACACTGCACGGGACTAGACTGAGACGTGGCGGCCGTCGGAGGGGAGCGCGAAAAATCGGCCCGCTCCGGCGAGCCACGCGGTGACGGGCGCGGCGGCGGCGGCGGCGGCGGCGGCGGGGCACACGGCCTGGCGCGTCCGACCGCGCCAGGCCGTGTGCCCCGGCAGGCATCGCGACGCACGGTGTGATGCCTGCCGGCGGTCCGGCGCGAACCCGGCCGGCACGCGGCGGAGAGCTCCACAGACGCCTCTCCGTACTAACTATTGCCTGCCTCTCAGATCGTTCGCTGCATCCCAGAGTCCACCAGCCGGCCGACCCGCACCCGCACATGGCGCCAGAGCGGCGGCGCACGCGCCAGCGTTGCTCTCCGACGACGCCTGGCTTTACCCCAGCGCGCGAGCGTCGCGTATCGGAGGCGGTAATTCGATGAGCTTAGGAGACATTGGGCTACACCACGACATTGCTGGCAAACTGGAGTACAACTGATTGACAAAGAACGCACCATGCATTTGACGGCTTCTCCACAAGTCGAGATCCGGCCCTCGTGTCCCCACAGTTGATTGCAGTAAAGATGACATGACGACCCAGTTAACTAACGTCCATGTGCGTTACGGAGAATGAAACAAAATACACGCATGCGAATAACTGTGCATATGACACGAAATCGCTAGGACGTCTGACAACATATCACGTGATCGCAAAGATTACGCAGCATCTCTTATCACACTGAGTGATTTACGCAGCTCAAGTGCGCGGCAATTAACAACTCCGCCTCGGGTTATCGTCTCGAAATCGACGCGTACTATCAGCAAATGGGAACAGATGACAGCAAGAACTATGCCTCCTGACAGCGGCACAGAATGCTGGGAGACTCACTACGTGGCCACGATCCTCATCCAAAGCTCGCCTGTCTCCATGACTTGATCCCAACGCCGCGCGCTCTCTACCCACCCCCTCCCCAATCCTCCGTTCCCCAGCAGACCCCACGAATCGTGCGTGGACAGACCAACGAGCGGCGCGAATGAGGAAAAAGCTGCGTCACAGCCCGCCAGTGCCTGCTCCGGGCCGCGGTTGCGCCGACCGTTGAGGGGCATGGCCGCGGGCTGTCCGTCCGACGGGGTCCGACAGGCGCTGCGGGCGCCAGAGCCGTCCGCCGCGCACCCGCCTCCGGCGGCGGCGCTCAGGCTTGCTGCGGCACGCCGCCGCGCGGCGCGCACGCCTCCTCCAGCCGGTAGACGGCGCGCCAGTCGGGCGGGCTCGGCTTGCACACGCCCCACACAGCGGCAGCCGAAGAAGTCGACGGCGTTCTGCAGCGGGCCGCGGTCGAACGGCGAGCGGCGCCGGCCGGCCGCCTCCGCCGACGCGAAGTGCTTGTACCGGGCGGCGTTGATGCGCTCGTTGGTGGTCATCGCCAGCCACGCCACCTGTCGTGACACGGCCACTCAGGTCAGAGTCCTACTGAGGCCCAGGTCGAGGGTCCGGGGTCACACTCAGGTCAGACAGGAGAAACGCAAGCTCAGACCAGATCGAGGGCAGGAACACACAGATCAGGCAGGAAGCAGGGTCTTGCAGGGTCAGGATCAGAGGCAAGGAGCAGGGTCAAGATCAGGGTCAGGAGCACGTTGAGGCTAGGTCCCGTTGTTTATGGTCACGCTACGACTACATTGAGGTTGGGATCACACCTATGAACTCCGGGTAACCTCTGGACGTGACACATCTAAATGTTCGGGTCCACGCACAGAGCACGTCATGTACACATAACATAAACAAGCAGCGATGGTGGCAGCGGCGGTACGTGTCCGCACGCTGCCGTCCCCGTCTTCTCCTGGCAACTGCACCGGCTTGCGTCAACCAGCCGCTGTCCGAGCCGGCGTCGGGGCGGTGAATCACAGCCGCCCCGACCCGTCAGCTGCCGCGCAGGTCACGGCCAGCCTGTGCAGTGCGCCCGATAAAAACGCTGGGCTCAGGTGTGCCCCGCCAGCAGCCGCCGACGACCTGACACCAGATGTTCACGGCGGTGACTCACGCCCGCGCTGCGCGCTTTCATTTACAAATTCTCGCAAAGCGTGGTATGTTGGGACTGTAGATGAAGATATTCTGGTATCAGGGTCAGTACCGTCTAGGCACGAGAGCATGGGCTCAGAGCCTGCAACCTTCAGCTGTCGCCAGCACAAATATCGACCTTTAATGCACCCGATGCTGGTTGACATTTCCAGTGCACGATAACACCGCTGGTAGCAGTAGCACCCACACACCCATCCAGTACCGCTGGTACTGATTTTGCACTGCTGCCCTTGCCGCTGTGACAATCTTGCCGTGTAGTTGAGCACACTCGAAAGTACCTGCCTGAACCGATGCTACGGCTTTTCGAAATGCACTGCGACAGCAACCGTGTGTAGTGCGACGCAACGTAACAATGAGAGGAAAATAGCTCAAAGATTAGAGGGCTGGATATGCCATCCGAAAGCCAAGGGTTCGACTGATCGGAATAAGATCTTATCTTTTCCGTGCCTGCAAGACGAATCAGGCTTATGCAATGCAGCAGAGCAATGCTTTTCTTCACGGCGGAGTATGGAGACAAAACACCACACACATCTGGTGCTGCCTCAAAATATCAGATGGGGATGGATTCAAGAATTTCTCAACAGAAGCCCCACATCAACAATGTGTCATTATCACGTAGCCGTTAAATATGTGCACATACGCAGTTCGAGACCCGTGTGTAGAGGCATCTTGACGGATTAACGATGGTCATTCGTCCATCCAGAGCGGGAACAGACTCTTGTGCCGTTCACTATGGGCGCAAGAACCGCCAAATAAATGTCAAGGGCTATATTTCATCACCAACCAGATTATGGTCACGCTAATTTTTGGCGGCGATACTACGAAACGGCATCGCCGCGATGACGTGCACGTGCGGTCGGACGGAGCCGTGCCCGGTCCGGCTCCACCACAAGCCCGGCAGACGGAGCCCCGAGCGCGAGCGCCGGCCGATCGGCCCACTGACCTGGTACATCTGGCAGCAGAACAGGGCCGACACCCAGACGGCGTGCACCAGCGCGTTGAGGGCGTTCCAGAACACCCACGTCTCGCACGTGGCCATGGTGGAGACGGCTGGCGGCAGACGGCAGAAGGTTCACCGCACACGGACACGCCCAGCCGGGAGGAGGCCGCGCGCCTAGGGTGACGCGCATGCAAGCTTGCCTGGCGACACTGGCGCACTAGCTCTGGTTAGCAATCAAATAGCGTTCAAATGCCCGCAAACAAAACCATTCCCACCCGGAGGCTTTTGTTCACACAACGGTAGAATTCCGACGTCGCCAGGTTATTCAATACGCTAAAGGTCCGTTCATATCTCGCGGACTGGCTGCAGAAACGCTGCAGATTCTGTACTTAGTTAGCTTTACTGCAGTTACTAGCTGTCCTTATTGGCTAACCTGCTGCAGTTATTAGCTTTTGCGGGTCAGGGGTACCCCAGTCATCCCGCGCGCTCGCACTAAGGCGTTAAAAAGAGCTCAAAGGTGGTAACTGTTGCTCACTTTCGAGCTCTTTCTGCCGACGGCTTGTGGGCCTGCAAGCTTAAAATTGACATATCTAGTTCGCGACAGCTGACTGGCTGCAGCGTGCGCAGCGGATTTTACAGCAAGTCCGCCAGGTGCGAACGGAGCACCACCAAAAAGGCAGGACCTGCTAATGTGGAGGTGCTTGCTTGGTAGAGCACCACCAATGATACGCGTCACCTGATTCTCCGTGCCCCGGCTACTGCAGTGGCGTAGGACGTACCGTTCCAAAAACCCTGCTCCGAAATGGCGACCGCGCAGGCGCGTTGGTAGAACACGCTGCAGCCGTACAGGAAGAAGACGCACATCCCGGCCAAGAAGAGCAGGTAGTACACAAAATATTTGTGGTTTCCGGCACCTGGAGCACGGCACGCACGTCAAACGTCGCGTTAGTTGTTAACATGTGATCTATAACAGAAGACATGACTGATTGAGAAATTTTGATTTAATACTGTGTCGGCATCTCGTTTCGAAACCACCATGGCATTTACGCACACAGATTGTGAGTGACAGAGAATGCCATCGATGGTAAAATATAAATGTCCATCCCAGGCAATGTTCCAAATTCACGGCTCACGTGCGAATTAAAACTGTGCTTCATTGTACCCGAAAAATGAAATGCGACAGTAAGCTATACGAGGGAGAAAAAAAACAAAGAGCCGAGTCAGAACAAGAACAACATAAATCTCCAAAAGTATCAGTTCAAATAGCAAACCAATGCCAATTTGTGGCGTTATAACATTATTAAGGATAGTCCCGTACAGCTGAAAGTGGACGTGAATGGCTAATTTCGGACAATCAACTCGCGTACGTAACATGATGACGAACAAGCAGAAGCGACACAGAAGAAGCAACAGAACAGAAGCCCGCCAGCGCCCGCACGCGTCACCCCTGCTGGCCGCCAATAGCGTGCGCCTCCAGCATCCATGACACGCACCGACACAGTTGTTGACCCAGGGGCAGTGGTGGTCGAACTTGGCCACGCAGCGGTTGCAGACGGAGCAGTGTTTGGAGCGGACCGGCCGGCGGATGAGGCACGTGCTGCAGAACTGCGCCATGTTGAAGCCCTCCGTCTCCGACAGTGACACGATTGTCTGCAGAGGTGCAAGGCCTCGCCGGTCAGCGGCGGTGCCGTCGGGGCGGTGGGGCACCGGCCGAGCGTAGCTCAGCAACAGTCCCACGCGACAACTGCGGCCGCTGGGGGCGCTTCCGGACGCGGCGCGATAGCTCCCAAGCGATTACCCTGTCCAATTTTCGTTTCGATAACCAGAAAAGGCCGGCAACGTTATGTCAGATATCGTGGCACCGTTCTGCGCCAGCTGCGGAGTGAGCATCGTTGCGACTGGTGATGAGGGTACAGCTGCATCAAAAGTCACCTCTGCCCAGCCGCGCACGCGCCTGGGAGCCGGGGGTCGCCTCGCCCGGAGCATCGCCGCCCAAACGGCTGAAGACGAGAGACCAAAGCCAGCCAGTCCACACCAGCCAGCTGCTGCCTGTCCGCGCAGCGACCAGCCGGCGCGGCCCTGCGCCATACTCAGGCCGCAGCGAGCCGTGGGCCAGCCGGCCGAGCGGCGTACCTTGCACTTGTCAGTCAGCGACGAGGTCATGTGGCCGGGGTCTCCCCGCCAGCAGCGCACGAACGCCCACCACAGCAGGGACGAGCAGGCGAGGAAGGCTAGCGTGGTGCTAGCACCCACGTACGGCTGCAGCCACACCACCCAGGTGATGTAGAACCAAATCTGAGGACAGAACAGCCCCAGGTGATGTAGGAGCACGTCTAAAGGAGCTGGGAAGAACTGGGTGATGAATGGAACACATCCCAGTGATGTAAAGCCAGAGTTGAGCGGAGACAACACTGTGGTGACAATGAAGTACCACATCTGATGGGACGTACGGACAACCAGGAATGTACGGAACAAAAACACCATAGTGATACAGTCATATCTGAGGGAGGGAGAACGCCCGGGTGATTTAGAACCAGATCCCACGACAAAAAAAAAACACCCAGGCGATGCAAACCCGGTCGGAGGGAAAAGAACAGCACCCAAGCGATGTAGAATCGGATCTGAACAAAGAGCAATGCTCAGATAACATCGACCTAAGTCTGAGGAAAAAAACGTCCAGGAAAGATGCGCAGACATATCTGACGACAGATTGCAACGCCCAAGCCGTACATAACCACACATGATGTAAGACACAAGCACCAGGTGATGTTACCGGATTGTGACAAGTGGGACTGTCGTGTGCGCAGACAGCTGCGGTCGTGGGGGACCACACGTGATGCTAGAACACGGCGGTGATAGGAAACGGGACGCGGAGAGATCTACGAGATGATACTCATACGTCCAGCCGACGTGTGCCCGAATCTGGGGATCTGGATCTGTGGGGAAGCCGGATCGCGGAATACCCAAAACAACGCCGGGGGGGGGGGACGGGGGCTGATCTGAAGGATAACTATAGCCCACGCGATCTGAGGCGTTGGCGGACGGAGCGCTTAGGTGGTGTAGAGCCAAACATTACGGCAGAAAAACCAGCACACCACTTAGGGCCCGGGTTGAGAGCAGCGCAAGACCCGGATGGCGTAACAACGCTGCCAGCTGGCCGACAAGCCGGTGGCGTAGAGCCATCTTCCATCGAAAAGCCTCGACTGGTAAAGAGCTATATCTTAGAAACAACAGCGAAGTGTCAGAAGCACGAGGATGGTGGCTGACCAAACACCGGACGTCCGCCGCTTGCAGAAACGGGAGCAGGGGGACCGCCACGAAACACGAGAGGAATCCGGCGTCCGCCTCCTCCCATAAAGAACAATACCGGCCGGGAGGCTCGATGGCTCTGAAGGCGCCGGGCGCCGGTCCGCACCAGGCGGCGCGTCCGGTACGGATCACCAAGCTGCCCGGCAAATGTACTCTTCAGCCCTCGTGCTGCGCACGCGTGTTGACGTCATTTAGCCAGGGAGACAAAGCGACTAAAGCATTCTTGACAGTTATGAATTGCTCTATTAACCATGCAGATGATGGCTACTTCACCCACTTTGTTCGTTGTCACGCACGGTGATGCACTTTATGTATTCACCGATCACTCAAGTGTGTCTCTTCGCCACCCAGCTTGTGTGCAGTACCTCATGTGGATAAAAGCCTAGCATTGGGCGTGGCCAGCTCCCAACCAGAGTCGGGAGCCTGTGCAGGGCACGCGGCCCGACCGAAGACCGCCGCCGGTGATCAGTGACCGTTATCCAGGTCATCACTCCCTGCCTACTGACCTTGGTGGCCAGGTATATGGCCATCGGCAGCGTCTCCATGAAGTCCTTGTTGAACAGGGCCTGTCCGTAGAAGTGGCACACGATATAGACGCCAACCAGGCAGCCCAGCTTGACCAGCACGTCCATCTCCAGGGCGAAGATCTGGCCGACCGCGTAGAACACCAGCAGAGGTAAGCTCATCTCCGCCCAGTACTGCACCTTCTGCAATCAGCGCCGATGGCGGCAGAGGTCAAGTGTGGGCCCGCCTGCATGTGCCATGGGTGTGCGTGCGGACAGTTCACATGTCAAATGGTTACCAGAGCAAGCGCCTCAGAACTTCAGAAGCTCCAAAGTAAGGGTCACAAAATGCAATGAACACTGCCGATGCGCCGGACCCGTATTCTGCCCGTGACGCCTAGACTGCACGCTCCAGCTGAATCCTGCCGCTAGCAGAGGCAGAACGCTCCGTGGCAGCGCTGTTGGCCGTGGCTGCGGCCGACTCTGGGGTCCAAGAACGCACCGCATTGCTGGTGAACCGCTTGCAGACGTTGCGACGCGACTGGCCGGGCTGCTCGAGCGAGGTGAGCCACTCCCTGCCCATCCACTGCACCTGGTGTCGCTGCGCTATGTCGTGCGCCGTGGCTCCCTGGCGGCATAGACACACTGGCTGCCGCAAACCGAGGCCAACGCGCCATGCGGCAGTGCACGAGACACTGTCCGCTGACAATACAGGATCAGTATGCATTACCTATGTCAATCTTCATCTCAAGCTCGGAGCTAAGTAAGTGATTAGGCTAAAAGGAAAAAAACACGTGGGGACCCGTTCCGACCACACCAAAACGGGTGCGTCCTACTTACGGGTGAAGAACGGTGTCCATGACTGGGTATAGGTGGCGCTGGACATTGGGGACAGCCACGGCGTTTACACCCATACGTAAATTAACAACATTATTTGCAGACGTAAGTGTGAAAGTGACAAGAACCTCTTACGTGAAACGATTTCGGGCATTCCATCACAAGTGTATCAGTGTGCCCCCAATGTGTCACGAATGGCACGCACATGTGACGTTCGTGAAGGACCAGTTTTCATTCATTCCTATCACCACTCACTACAGAAAGACTCGTGCAGCAGTTAGCCATCGAGCGGTGCCACTGTTCGCCGCTCCCCTCTTTGTTCCCAGCAAGCCACAAGCTAGACGACGCTGACTGCCCCACACTCCCGGCCATCTGCTCGTTTCTGTCTCTGTGATGGCTCACCTGTTTGTTCTTGATGCTGATGCCAGGCGCCGGCTGGCCTGTGTCGGCTCACCTGTTTATTCCTGACGCTGGTGTCGGTGCCGGCTGGCCTGTGCCGGCCCACCTGTTTGTTCCTGACGCTGGTGTCGGCGCCGGCTGACCTGTGCCGGCTCACCTGTTTGTTCCTGACGCTGGTGTCGGTACTGGCTGACCTGTGTCGGCTCACCTGTTTGTTCCTGACGCTGGTGTCAGCGCCGGCTGACCTGTTTGTTCTTGACGCTGGTGTCGGCGCCGGCTGGCCTGTGTCGGCTCACCTGTTTGTTCCTGACGCTGGTGTCGGCGCCGGCTCACCTGTTTGTTCCTGACGCTGGTGTCGGCGGCTGGCCTGTGTCGGCTCACCTGTTTGTTCCTGACGCTGGTGTCGGCTGCCGGCTGGCCTGTATCGGCTCACCTGTTTGTTCCTGACGCCTGGTGTCGGGCACGGCTGGCCTGTGTCGGCTCACATGTTATATTCCTGACGCCTGGTGTCGGCACCGGCTGGCCTGTGTCGGCTCACATGTTTGTTCCTGACGCTGGTGTCGGTGCCGGCTGGCCTGTTTCGGCTCACCTGTTTGTTCCTGACGCTGGTGTCGGGTGCCGGCTGGCCTTGTGTCGGCTCACATGTTTGTTCCTGACGCTGGTGTCGGCGCCGGCTGGCCTGTATCGGCTCACCTGTTTGTTCCTGACGCTGGTGTCGGTGCCGGCTGGCCTGTATCGGCTCACATGTTTGTTCCTGACGCTGGTGCCGGACGCCGGCTGGCCTGTGTCGGCTCACCTGTTTATTCCTGACGCTGGTGTCGGCGCCGGCTGGCCTGTGTCGGCTCACCTGTTTGTTCCTGACGCTGGTGTCGGCGCCGGCTCACCTGTTTGTCCCTGACGCTGGTGTCGGCGCCGGCTGGCCTGCATCGGCTCACATGTTTGTTCCTGACGCTGGTGCCGGCGCCGGCTGGCCTGTGTCGGCTCACCTGTTTATTCCTGACGCTGGTGTCCGCGCCGGCTGGCCTGTGTCGGCTCACCTGTTTGTTCCTGACGCTGGTGTCGGCGCCGGCTCGCAGCAGCGTCTGCACCGCGCTGACGTTGCGCGCCGTGACGGCCCAGTGGAGCGCCGTGTTCCCGTATGTCTGGTCCTGCAGGCAGGTGCTGGCGCCGAACGTCAGCAGCAGCCGCGTCGGGTCCATCCTGCCTCGGCAGACCCGTCAGGTCAGACGCCTGGCCGGTGAATCACCAGACACAAGGGCCGCGCCACTGGCAAAACGGCTCATTCTACCAGAGAATAGGGTTCATGGCAATTTTGGGAAACGCCGTTCATTGTGATTGGTACAAGCATAGCCACATGTTGGCGGATGCACCAATACATCCAAAATATGAAACGCACAAATACGTACAAATGATATATCAAGGTGGTAGTGCGCGGCCCCCAAAACATAAATTCATGAACATCAATGGCCGCGAACAAAACAAACAGGACCCTGGAAACCATGGGCAACACGGAACATCCCAAGCAGATGCTGGTTTATCCTCTCCCGCACCCAAGAGGTGGTCGTGTGATCTGGCCGGGCGCCTGCAGTTCGCCCCGCACGCCGCCGCGGCCGTGCGGCCGTGCGGCCGGCCCGCCGGCGCACCCACCCGGTGGTCTTGTAGGCGCTCCACATGAGGGCCGGCATGCCGCTGTCGTCGGGCGCGGTGGCGCCGGCGCCGCCCGTCACCGCCCGCAGGTAGGCCACGATGTTGGTGTAGCCGCACTGGGCCGCCACGTGGATGCAGGCGAAGCCCTCCACATCACGGATGGTGGGGTCGGCGCGGTGTCGGATCAGCAGCACCACCATGCTCAGGTGGCCTTGCCTGCGGCGGCAGCGGGCGCGTTGTGACCGGAGGCGCCCCGCTGGCACGGCTCACTCGGATGGAAAACGGAAATTTCCAACCATCTGACATGGCTGGTTCGACTGCGACGAGGCCGTGGGTAACACGCCGACATTTTCAATCTAGTTGTGGACTCCAAGGAAGGCATAATGCAGAAGATTTTTGGCAATTGCATTGAAATATTAAAAAGCAACTTCCAGTGGAGCACATCCATTTCAAACACAAGAAGCGATAGGAAAATCATTGAAAGCCCTGCTGCGTCCTCTCAGCTTTTACCGCAACCTCTGTTACCTGGTACACAAATAATATCGCATTAGTGCTATGGCATTTTGCTGTTGACCCGGACATGTGGTGACCATTTCCAATCACTAGTGCCTACCAGAGACGTTCCCAACGCATGTTCACAAAGCCACCCCCGGCGATCCGGTTTTGGAGCAGTACTCAGTGGAGCAGTTCCCTGCAGGTGCCAGCCACGGCGGAGCGTGCGGCCCGCACGGCGAACGGCACCGGCGCCCACCTGACAGCCCAGTGGAGCGGCGTGGAGGCAAGGTCGCCGCCGCGCGCGTCCACCTCCGCGCCCAGGCCGATGTAGTACGACGCCAGCGGCATCCGGTTGTTGATGGCGGCCCAGTGCAGCAGCGTGACGTCGATGTTGTCCCTCCGATTGACGTCATAGCCGTCGTCGATCAGCTGACGGCATCGCTCCAGCACGCCGTACTGCAGACGGGCGCCGAGAGCGGCCGCGCACGGACGTCAGGCGTGTGGTCGGTATCGGCGTGCATTCCACATACTTGGTTTCAGTCGGACAGCAGGTGGTTCAGGGAGCTCGTTGCAGAGCTGTTTTTGGGAGCTCCGGAAATCTAAGGCAATTCAAACACAGCCTTACATAGCCTGCTACTATTTAGCTGAAAGCAGAAATGTGTGAATATAATGATGCATGAGAACAGGCCCTGCTACATTTGGGTATAGGAAATACACACCAGCAGTATGAGGCAAAGTACACCCTGGTTGATAAACCTGAATAGGATAATGTCAGAAAGTGCTAAATGAAGAGGGTGAGGGGGGGATGAGTCATCTCTTTTGCACAAACTTTCAACTTGTTTTGTGAGGCACAGTGCATGCTCCCACTGTGCAGCACTTCTGACAAATGGTACATACCTGAGTGGCTTTGACAATGTCATATTGGGATTCCTTGCTGGCACCCACAGACTCAGTGGTAGCTCCAGAGGCATGCCCATCTGGCACGTCACCTCCAGCATGAGACATGATGTCAAAGTGACTTTTTAAAGATCAGCTTGCTCAACACCATTGAAATACCAGATTGGAGGCAGATCACCTGAAGGCAGATAACACACAGTTTCACTCTGGGCCTACCTTACAGCATGGGACATCACCCAGATTGCTCACTTTCAGCTATTAACTGGAAGCAATCCTGAAGTCCAACGGCAAAAAGGCCCAAGAGCCAGTAATTAGCATGCGTTCGGGTGCGGCGGGGTTGATTTGCCCCCCCCCCCCCGAAGGGCTTTTCCGGAACAGTTTCGGAACGGCAGGGCTTAGCTACCCCAGATTTTGCACAGCTGTAGACAATTTAATAGCAGGTTGCTTGGGATCAAAAATTTACGTCTACCTTGCAATGCCGCTGATCTACGGCAGGTCGAAGTCAGGTCATGTATTCAGAAGGCATTTTCCAGGGAATCATTCAATCTAATGCAACACTAGAGAGTTAGACAGAGCCATACATCTTTGAGATACTTTCTTTGGAAACCCAACAATTGGAGGAACAAATTCCATTGCCCTAGGGTCAGGCATGCAGGTCAGACCAAGGTCAAAGCCTATCTGTTTTATTACTCTAGAGCTTGCTGTCTGAGGTAGTTTGTGGTGCTCATTTTGAATTCATCGATAAGAGGAATTGCATTATATATCCTCCATGGACTTGTTTGAGGTCAGCCAAGGTTACTGACCTAATATGACCCACATCAACATTTTATTCAGGAATATGCTGCCTAGCATAATATCTGTCACTTATTCAAATACAACACTCAAAGCAGTATTGTATGATTTGTCACCATGACCTTTGAAAGATCTGACAAGGTCATTGACCTTAAATGAGCATGCAACCATTTGCTTAGAACAGGTACTTAGGTTCTGGGGGCATTAAAGACACCAACCTGGAGTTTGGCCCTATTTGACCTGAAGATCATGGCCTATAAAGCTCAAACCTTGGCACTAGTGAGTTCATGTATGGGCCAATACACCCTGTGAATTTGGTGTCTCTAGCTCTTAGTTTCTGAAATCTCAGAGGGGAGGGGAGGGCACACTGACCCCCATGCAAGGGCATCTGACCCTAAGGGTATCCAACCACCCACTGGGGTGTGTATTAGCATAGCATTTGGGCCTTCTGCCTTTGCATGGCAGAGCTGGGTCCTACCAATTATCTGAGGAGTTCAAATAATATTCTCAGGATCAAATATAGCATTTGTGATCCCAAACTGACCACAAAAGACCATGGAGGGACAGATGATGAGGGATGCAAGTTTCTATCCCATTCAATGTCAGTGACCCAAATAGCATTGCAAGCATAACATTTGAGTGCATGGCTGGAGTTATGTATGTCTTATACCTACTGGTAATTTACACAGATGAGTTCAGAAAATGTGCTTAAAGGATACATAAAATGGGCTTAGAAATTTAGCTTAACCTCACTGACATCAGCACATGTCAATGATGTGGATGTTGATGGTGACACAGTTTGCAAGTGGTGTATATACATACATAATGCAATATATAAACCATTTGCATTGCAATGCAACAAAGACTACCCATCTGCACATTATGCATGCAGGGGGAGATGGTTTCAATGGAGCATCTAGAGGCCCTTGGTCCTCTATTTGCTTCATACCTCTGGCTCAATTTCAGGTCAAATGGACATCACTTTTTGGGATGTTGCACCTAAAACAGTCCACACAGGGGAAAGGCAGGTGCCAAGAATTATGAGTGTGCAACAAGGGGGAAGGAATGTTGAAAAAGGCCAAAAATTGCATCATAATTTATAGATTGTCTGGTTTTCCAACATCACTACTACCATATTGTACATTTCCAACACCATTCCCTACCAGCACTGGTATATTTGAACTCAGAGCTCAAAAGAAAAACAAAAACTAATAACTTGTTTCACAGCACATTCTGTTATGTCCAATATCCTGCTTGGTGAAACCAAGCCTGCAATATATTTTTTTAACAAAGTGCACAGCATTACAAATATACTCATCAAAAGTGAGCATGATATATTTTGTCATGGAATTATCATGGTAAACTAAAATATCCTGGGACATATTTCAACATAAATAATAACTTGGAAATCCAGCACAATCTGACTATATCTGGGTTTTGCACACACAAAGCCAAGGTTATGTGTACCAATATCATGTAGGCATTTGGTAAGGTGGATTATTTTTCTCATGTTGGTGCGCAGTCACCATACATTCCAGTTAGCATATGTATGCTTACATGGATCACATGGATAATTATGCTGTGCATGATTTCATGCAGATGGAGTCACTGAAAATGTCAGCCAACATGAATGATGAGCTATCAAATAACTGGGTTCTAAAAAAATTGAGCCAGCATGTCTCCATAACAAGTAAAAGTTAGGAAACAGAGGTTCCAATAACAGGGTGAGTGATTCAGTCAGACCCCCTGATGAAGATGGCCAAGTCTTTTATTTCCTTCTTTGAATGAGCACAGCAAAGCATGACAAAACTAAGGGGCTGTGATTGGCAGAATGGGAAGTTAATATCTTCTATGCAGCCTTATCCTCATTTGGGGCAGCATCCATAATCTTAACTGTTTTCAATAACAATGCTAAGAACCAACGGGCCAACTTTTAAGACCTGGGCACAAGCATGGTGTATTACGATTTTCATCACTTGATACGCATAGTTTTTTTAGATATTCAAAAGGATTGTACGCCAACGGCGGGTCTCGACTACAAGTAAGAGAACTGGGAGGGGCACCAGCCAACACACGTATTTAGATAGATAGAGCACCCAAACTGCGCCTGGGCAAAAAACACGCACATCGGATCCCCACCCGGTCATACAGCAGTGGTCACTACTCCGCCCACCGCCGCCCGGACACGGGCCCCTATCGCTCAATAACGCATACAAACGCAGGCCCTGCGGCTCATAGGCGCAGACGCACACACACACAAACACAAACCTAACAGCGCTAAGATCGGTATTAGTGCGGCATGAATGCCGGTCTGGGGGTGAATACTCCAGAGGTGCAAACCCAGCGAACTTTGCGCCAGCCACCGGAGTGCGGCTTACAGAGCGTTATCAATGCAGGACACAGGGGCATAGCTTTTCAAAACCATGGTTTTCAAATATGTTTTCAGAGGAAGCGGACATGGTAAACCGTGCTTTAAAATACACAACGGATTTCTCCCCGGATGACACACCTTTTTATAGTCGGGGACGATGCCCGAGCCGCCCCAGCTGAAGACTTACAGTTGGTACCCTGTTCAACCGTGGTACGTCAACCCACCGCTTCTTGTACCCACACATGCGTGTGATGCATACCGTCATGTAGTGTTTGGGGTAATGCCGTGCCTCATCATTTTGCTATTCCATCTCGATCCATCTGCATAACGCGAATGTTTCAACTATCGGAGACGTACGTACGTAGCCCCAACAGCAGAGCAACCAGGAAGCCATCGCCCCGCCTCGTGAGTGCCCCTATGAGGATACATGGGGGTACATGGGAATAATCGACTTCAAAATTGACGCCCCCCCCCCCCCCCCCTCTGGGACGTCTACATACCTGTGGAACTGTGCGCGATGCGTACTTTATGCTGTGCTTTCGGCGGCGTTATCGCCGAAGCCTTAGACAAGACGTGAGGCCCAAAAGCACAAATGAACGAGCGAACAAACGAAACCAAACGAACTAGACTGAACAACGGGTTGGCAGCGCAGACACAGAGGAACCACCAAGAAATGGGGGGACAAATCTGAATTTGTTTGCAGCGTGCAGCACCACGCGCTAAAGCAAAAGTTGGCCAACAATGGAATAAACGCGTGCTGCGTCCACTCTGGCGAACTTCCCCTGTCTTTACAACGGGCAGATCATGAGCTTGTGCGGGAATGACCCGATTATATTACAGATGCTGGATCAGGAAGCACCACCCCACTGGGGCAGGCCTGAGGAGGGGTTCGTGGCGCAACTATAGCTGCTCCTGGTACACATGAGCTGCCCGACAAGGTATGTTCGTTCTACCCGGGACAGGGCCTGTGCAGACCTCTGCCATCAGCAGTTATGCAATTTCACAAACGAAAAATGGCTTCACGGCGTGCTCATTCCACCGTTTAGCAAAATGCAGACACTACCTCGCCAGCAGGTATAGCACGAGAACGTCAAAACGCATCACGACCTTCCCAGATTTCAGTATGTTGCAATAAAACGTCATAAGACGAGAGCACCAAACAACAACAAGACATACAACACGGTAACAACATCGGCATTCGGCACAGGAGCAGAACGATGCTGGCACGTCAGCCCGGCAAAACGACCTAATGGACTCTTTGGCATTCGTGTCGCGTCGCCACAGATCTCGGACATTGCTCACGTCTGGCAACCACTCGGTGGCGCAACATGGAGCCACACGCCTGGCAACACACGTCAGCCTGCCTGCGACACCCAGATTCAACACAAGAACAGTGCGTGCTACACTTGAAAACTGGCCCGTGTGCGTGCTGCGGTCGAGGCGGGACGCCAGGCCCTCGTGACAGTGCATACCCAAGCTCCTCTACCAGCTAAGCGAGCAAGTAGTTCCGGAAGACGGCGAGTTTGAGGCCTGTGGCGCCAGAGCCGGTGCCGACGCCCGGCGGCGGGCAGGCGGTCCCCGGCCGTCGCGATCGGCAGGCAGACGCGCTGTGACGTCCCGCCGCCGCGGTCCGTGGACCCCCGCACACCACGACACAGACGCGGCGCACACCCAACGGCACCCACGGACACAGCGGTGAAGCACACACAACGACCGAACGGAATTACGCAAGAACTGGGCCGGACCCGGTCCGAAACAAAGGTTCATTTTCGGTCGTAAGTCCACAAGGCCACAGCCCTGCTTTTACGCTACATAGCGTAAGCCTTCCATAAGGCTTCCCAAATGAAGCTCGCTGCAAGCTGGGACAAAACCAGCGCCCATTCAACACCAGATCGTAGCAAACTCCTTGAGCCAAAGCGCGCCATTATTGAGTACAGGGGGAACGTGATCAATGCACGGGGTAACGGCCACCATGCGAGTGGACACGAAATTCCCATCTCGACGAGGTCTTCCATCTTCAAACATACAACGAATAACACGAAAATGAATCAAACAAATGCGTGCACACTAATGTACAAAACGAGCGAAAAAGTCGTGACAAGTTATTCGTAAGTAAGAACGTCACTGATGTGCGGTCGAACCTGCGAAGTGGTCGCCCACCCGTACAAAGGAGCAAACGAAATAAAACCGAAATATGCGCTGTCAGCGAAGCTTTGGTGAAACCACTTCGAAAAATCAGCCAGACAGTCATGGCATGGGATCTTCCTCATCTGACCAACTCAACAGTCACTGATGACAGCACATCCCTTGCGTGCAGCCCTTCCGCGGTAAGTGTTTGTATCGCAGCGGGAGCTGTACAGGATTCCTTACAATGTGCGGAAAGCAAATGCCTTTTAAGGTGTACCATGATAAGTACAGTCAAAAGTCAAACCGTTAATACCGAAACTTAATAAAAAAACTGACCACAACACCTGACACTATCAATGACTCCCAGCACTCGCTATCATCGCAGATAAGTGATCGCCCACTCTACACTATCCCCTACTGACCAGCGAATCGGCAAGGAAAATACTGATCAACCGTTTCGGTGCAGCCAGCGGGACTTGGACGCCTTGCCCCGGACCCCGGCTTGGGACGCGGAGCGCTGATGAGAGCTATGACTAGGATGTTGAAGTCACCCAGTGACCGCACACTGTGTCCCACTACCGCTCGATTCTCCACGCAGCCTAGCCGACTGTATGTCAAATGTAGCAAAGTAACCTGAAAAGCACTTCAACACCCGGATATAAAGGTTCCACGAGCTGCGACGGCGCAGCCTCTTGAGGCCAGCCGCTTCGGACCAGCGTTTTGCCCCGTCAACGCTGCCTAGCACTTACGTAATTGTCCATAAATACGCCCCCGCTCGTGCGCATGCAGGAGATCAAAGCGGCACCCCGGGCGGCGCGGCCGCGACGGTCCAGGTACAGTGGGGGCCACCGCGGGCGGCACGACCGGCGCGGCATCGCACCGGCGCCGAGCCGCGGCCGCCCGCGGCGGCGGCGGCGGCGCGGCTAGGTGCTGATGACCGAGTTGTGCCGGGAGAGGCCCGGCTCGACGATGGTCGAGTTGTGGCGCGTCTTGCGCCGACACTCGGCCTCCTCCTCCGGATCGACGCGGCTGACGGCCATCGAGAGCGCGGCCGTCTTGTCGAAGTCGATGGTGGCGTACCCCTGGCCGGGCCGCGCGGTGACGGCAGCCGCCGCCGCCGCCGCCGCCGTCGCCGGCTCGGCGCGCCCGGCCGCCTGCAGGTCGAGCACGGCGTAGTTCACGAGGCGCGCGGCGCCACTCCCGGCCGCAATGTTCACGTAGCACCGCTCGGCGTCCTCGGCACTGGCGACGCCCGCCTCGGGCAGCACGTTCACGTACAGGTGGCGCCGCTCGGCCTCCTCCGCCGACTGGTAGTTGGTGTTGATGTCGCACGGCACCGTGTTCAGGTACGAGTGCGCTGGCTTGGACTTACGCTGCGCCGGCACCGGCGGCTGCTTGGCCGGCTCGGCGTCTGGCGGCGGCGCGGCGGCCTCCTCCGACCACACCTCCTCGTTGACGTACACGGCCTGGTCCGAGCCGTCTGCCGAGAAACACCAAGACGGGTCAGAACGGGGACCGGACGCGTTGCGATCCGTGGCATGGCTTACAGATGACAAGTACACAGCTAAAAAATTACGAGTTGCATCTTCGTTAGCATGACATACGTGGAATACATCAATACAACGCACACTGTTAATAGCACGTGAAAGCACCAAACACGAAAAGCGCCACCCCCATCCCCACAAAAAAATCAGTTATGACCATAAACCGGCCTAAGTGATCGCAGCAAACCCAAGCGAGCGGAAAGCCTGCGGGTTGTGTTTTTGTCATGCTCCTTCATTTCGTCACCGGAATCCAGAAATTGTCACGCACAGTCGAATTCATCTACCCTTTACAGCTAATAATACTACTACTTCCATATCCGTGCTCTGAGCCCTGCGTATTCGTATTGCATGACCTTGTTGGGTGCCTCCCGGCCCCGTCAGCCATCCGTTGGTTTATATGTAATCCAGCCGCGGCACATGAGCGCTCCCAAACTGCGCTAATACAAAGACCTGTTCTTCACAAAGAAAGCTTCGACAGCACAGCATATGATGCGCAAAGACACAGTCGCGCACACTCCTTCCTACACAGGCACGCACATGCCTTCCGAGACAACCGCGCACGCTCCTTCCGACACAGCCGCGCACGTTCCTTCCCACACATTCGCGCACACTCCTTACACAGTCGCGCACATTCCTTCCCACACAGTCGCGCACACTCCTTCCTACACAGTCGCGCACACTCCTTCCCACACAGTCGCGCACACCACCCCCTGTACAGCCGCACACAATTCCTCCTACACCAACACACACACTCCTTCCTACATCGCCGCACACACTCCTTCTTACACCGCCCACACACTCCTTCCTACATCGCCGCACACACTCCTGCCCACACAGTCGCGCAGACCACCCCCTATACAGCCGCACAGCCTCCTCCCTACACCGTCGCACACACTCCTTCCCACACAGTCGCGCACAACATCCCTACACCGCCGCACACACTCCTTCCCACACCGCCGCACACACTCCTTCCTACACCGCCGCACACACTCCTTCCTACACCGCCGCGCGCACGCCTTATGATTCACAGACGATGTCAGCGGTCGACATCCCTTTCATTCCTTTGTCCACACACCGGCGGTGCAAAGTGGCCGGAAGTAAGCCCCTCTGACCTACCGGCGGTCCGCCCCACCCCTGCCAGTGGTCCGCCCTATCCCTGCCGGCGGTCCGCACCACCCCTGTCGGCAGCCTGTCCGCCCCTGCCGGTGGTCCGCACCACCCCCGCCAGTGGTCCGCCTTATCCCTGCCGGCAATCCGCACCACTCCTGCCGGCAGCCCGTCCCAGCCCTGCCGGCGGTCGGCACCATCCCTGTCAGCAGCTCGCCCCACCGCTGCCGGCGGTCCGCACCACCGCTGCCGGCGGTCAGCCCCGTCTCACCTGCCGGTCCGTGCCAGGCCTCCAGGGCGGCCACGTCGCCGTTGGCCGCCGCCGTGACGTCCCCGTGCGCGGGCGTCTGGCGGCCCTCGTCCGCCGGGTTCTGGATGCACGTCTGCCGCCCCAGGGGGTGGTGTCACACTCGCACCCCAGTCCCGGCAGGGCGACAGAAGCGCACGGACATGCCGGCGCGCACATACACACACACAGACAGCTCAGCGATCAGCTGTCTCGCGACACCTTACACCCACGACTCAGTTGTAAGTTCATCGTTTACTTATCAGCACTAACATGCGTATCGGAACAAATGTGCAGTTCATGTTTCAATTTGTAACGTTCAATGTTTCCTTCATAACTGTCGCCAGTTCCACGTAACTTAAATGGCGGGATATCAGCATAGGGGGCACCGTGAACGGCAAGAGCGGACGCAGTAGGTTCGGGAAATACATCGACGATGGCTCAATTCCCACCAAGCGCGCCGTATATCCAAGCCCAGAAGTTGGGAACTTCAACGCTGTACAACACGTCATGGTGCCGCATACCGTTACGAATCCTCCGAACTAGTCCCCTACCGGACTACGGCACAATTATCCATTCATCATTCAGCCGGTGTGTGTAAAATCCTTTCAGCACTTGACCCCCAAGTGGACTATATACTCCCGCGCCTCACTGACCTGCAGCAGCTGGAACAGGGCCTCGGCGCGCTCACACTTGAAGGCGTACACGCCGGCGCCGGTGGGGGCGCGTCGGCCCAGCTCGAAGCTGAACACGCCCTCCGAGTAGCCGTACCGCTTCAGACAGCGGATGGGCCATCGGACGCCCGAGCGGCCTGCGCGCACAGGCCGGGCGGTGGCCGCAAGTCAGCCAGGGTCGCAGGTCAGGCGGCGCAGTGGCCAGGACTCACGGGTCGGACAAAGACCATAGGTCAGAAGCGGCCATGGCTCAGACAGCTCGGGTCAGATGGCGTGCCAGACGCAGGCCTGGGCAACGACCGTGGCTCAGACAGCTCGGGTCAGATGGCGTGCCAGACGCAGGCCTGGGCAACGACCGTGGCTCAGACAGCTCGGGTCAGATGGCGTGCCAGACGCAGGCCTGGGCAACGACCGTGGCTCAGACGTGACCTCAGATCACTAGTCACGAACCTGAAAACGACACGTTCACGTGCGGGCAGCTCACGGAACCGCGTCACGCGCCAGCAGTATGACGTGTCACGTCACGGCCGGCGTTACAAACAGACCGCCAAATGGCTCCGCCCCCACCAGCGGCGGACGGCTGATCGCATATTTAACACCTGGGCATGCATCTCCCCAGCAGGCAGGCATTCTATGGCACACGCCCGAAAGACAGCGGACACCTACCTCTTTGGTGGAGAATAATGTCCCGATCTGTGATCTCCAGTTTGGCCGGTCGCAGCTCCTGACCAAGGTCGTCGATGTTGACCACTTGGAAGATGTTTGGGTGACGGTCATTGATGTCCGCCTTGCTGGACATGCATCCCATGTCCCCCAGCAGTGGTCAAGAGGTGCGTGTCAAGGTCATTGGTAACCATTGCTCAGGACACACATCTTGCACATCCCTGCAAAACATAGGGTCAAGGATTAACGACTTGAGCTATGTTTCTGGGGCGTCATGGACTTGTGAAATATTTCAGATATCTACTTGTTTCATTTTAAAAAAATGACCGGATAATACGCACATGCTATCGACGGAATTTTCTCTCATTTTGTCACTGATATTTGGATGTTGCTCCCTAAATAATTGCACTTTTCATGTGTTGCATAGTTCTGATTTGGCATGCAGATGACACATATGCATGCCTTCCAGCATGTGCATGACTCCCCAGCCCTCCTATCCCAAAAACCTTAATCCCTATAATGGATGAGTTCCACTCTACAGCCAGGGATCAAAATAAATTTGTCATCATGTTCAACAGCATTGAGATTCTTGCCCTGTCTCACCTCATTCCCCCTGCCATGGCCTGGTGGGAGCTCACTATGTTATGCTGCCTTAATATATTCCAATGATTTGATGTGATTAGCCATGCAAAGTTGTCCTCAGCTCCAGAACCATTCTATTAACCAAACTTGTTGCCTTTTTACCATAGTGGCCATGTTCAGCTTATGTCCAACAGACTTGGTAACATTGGATGGGAATGCTAGGATGGGATTGGGTACATCTATGGAAAGGTGTTAACTACCTATCAATCATGACATTTTAATGGCTTCACTCTGCCTGCTCCTCTTACAAACCATCATTAATGATCTGTCCCTCTATCAACCTGAAGCCCATGTCATAAATGTGCTGACAGTCCTCACATTTGATTTCTAGGGAAAACCTTTCACAGCTCACTCTACTACAGAAGAGGTTCCAGTCTCTCTGTGAACCTCACCTTAATTGTCATGGCACATGGTTTATTTCCATGTGGTCTTACTACTATTTGTGTACAAAAAGCCTTATGGTAGATAATGCCAACTTTGGCATCCTTATACCTGCCATGTGAGTCATTGCTTTTGAGTGGGAGTCATATAATACCCAGCCCCTGTTATGCACCTTGCACAGCCCATCCTCCCACATCTGCCCAGGAGCCACTGGTAATGATTTGGAGAAAACACAGCATGCCACCAAAAATAACAAATTTTAGAATGCATACCACTGTAGCCTGTTGACATTGGTAGTAGCATACTCATTTCATGTATGATGTAACTTGATGTATTCATAAATGCAGTGCTGTTCCATGCATCTTGTCAGGTTACTTTCAAACATTTAAGTTAAGTGTAGCAGCACAAGGCATAGAGTTTCATTCTGCTTCACAAGAACTGATTCAAAAAATACATTCACCACATTCCATTCATGTGCACCTGCATCTATTTGACATGATTCACAAAAAGGCCACTCCTGAAATTATGAGACCCAATTTCACAAAAATCAGTTTCAGTGACTCATGTTCAAAGTTTAATGCACACCTTTATATATACTGTATGCAAGTAGATATGCATGCTAGGAGTGGTCATGGGTGTGGGACCATGCTGCAAGTACAGGATATTATTATGTAGCAGTGGTTTTATACTGCTTTTAACCCAGTCCTAGCATAAGAAAGAAATCCCAATACCAGTAAGATTAGTAAGCCAGCAATGCAAAATCTTCTTACTCCATACTGCAGCTTTCCAGATCCAAAATAAAACCTGAGTAATTTAAGTAAATATTGTCATTTTTTACTTAGAAATCACACATGATATGCCTTCAAAGAGGTATATAATGATGGTAATGCATAATGATGGTAATGCTACCACAGACTATCCAATCATAGAGTTCACACCCAAACTTCATACAACTCTTGCATGCCTCAGAAACCTATAAAAAGCTCACTAGTTTACAAAATTGATATGCTGCACCATGTACCTACAGGACATTGGCACCCTGAACCCCTGACTTCAATGAGCCAACTCAGTGCCAGGTCAAATTGCAATGATTCTGCAAATTTATGGTGACCATTTGGCAAACCCTGGGCACCTAGATCTATGGAAACATGTGCTAAAATTGTCCCAGTAATGTTGCAGTTAGGCTAAATATCATGCATGCATGCATGTTTTCACACACCATGCATGTTTTCCATTTTAGGCTACTGAGACTGATCAGCAATAATTATCTTACATTGATGCAAAAAGGGCAGCGATTGAAGCTTCTAGTGCACATGCCTAACTAAAACATGTCATAAGGCAACACAAGACAAAGCAAGGTATCACTAAATGGGTGTGACGCCCGTAAAAGTTGTATGTATTTCAGTGCACATAATGTTTTCGTCCACCGGACCAAGTTTTTGCAAAACAGAATTGTTAACGCACGGTAGCAGCACAAGGAGGCTTATTTTAAATCAAATCCCGAGGGGGAAGCAACACGCACCTACTACATTCACCTGACAGCTGACAAGTGACAATAACCCACTCCCAACAAAGATGACCCTGATCTCACTTGATCTCAGCCTGCGCATTACGAAATCGGCGACGAACCGCAGCCGAAAGCGACAGCAGTCGCAGTAGTAACAAGGAGGTGGCACAAATATTGTAAGGTGGTGTGTGTCTTAAAATGACAACGACCTAAAGCCATTCCAAATACCAAAAACGCATTTTTCGGTTTAACAAGACCTTCATTCTGCAACATATCAAAGCTAGCTCAAATACAGCAGTAAACTGGGACAAGTACTATTTCATGTAAAGCCAGCATCAATGTTACGGTGTAAAATACTATCCCTTTAATATGCCATTGGAAAGAATATCGAGCTTTTGTTTTTTGATGCATTTTGGTTTTTGTTTTGGTAGCAGAATATTTGGAATACATTCATGGCGCAGGTTCAATTGCTAGCTGACATACTTGAGGCCTCTGAAAGCCGTATCAGGCTGCCGGGTAGTATGAGGAGGTGGCACTGTGGACGACGATTGGGAGTGGGGTAATAATTGGAGATGCGGTGCCCTGTATCTTGAGGACCTGTGCCCTGTTAACCGGCAGATGAAGATTCGAAGCGGGGTAGTGAGAGCAGGATAGCTAAGGTTTGAAGCGTATGGCAACAGGGAGAGGGTCTGGGAACGGTTGCTTTTAGATTGTCACGCGTACTTGGTTTTATTGCCCTTTGAAGTGCCAGGTTTCATTACCATTTGCGCACATTTTTCCAGCACGATTTATCATTTTGAGTTATGCAGTTATGTTTTATGAGGTGTGACATCTGTGACACCCATTCCTAGGGATTCTGAGCAATCTGGAGCCTTGAGACCAATCAGGTGGGTACAACAAGTACAACTCAGTGTCATGCCCAAGGGCACTATGATGAAAAGAACCCTCACTGTCTGCATTGTGAGCACAAGCTCACAGCTGCTCATGATGAGCTGCTGACAGTGATTTGCTTGGTATAAACATGTTTTTCTTTTGAATCTTATCTTGCAAATAAATGCAAAAAATGTGAACTGCTCCTGATACTGGAAGCAGGTTAAAAACAAACTATTGGTAGAAGTTACTTTTTATAGAAAATTTTCATCCCATTGAGGGTTTATGACTACCAGGAGAGGCAATAGCACTGACAAGCTTAAGAAATGTTCTTGGTGTTCTCTTGCAGACCTTGGTGACCAGCACATTGTCAACATGCGTGGGGAAGACAACAATAGTGTGTCACAGAATGACAAGTCAGCAGTCATTCATGAAGTGTCTGACTTTGACTGGAGAGTAAAGGTGGGCAGCTAACCATATTTATGTGGTGGTTATCAGCTCTTGACACCTGTTTACCTACCTCCCAACCTGAAAATTAGTTATAATGGTATGATGCTCATATTTTCCCATGTTTAGGAAACCAGAGTTTGGGTGCGTTTTCTAATGGCATCATCGGCTCATCATTCATTTGTGAAATGGTGCTGATACATGCAAATAATTCCAGGTTATACTGGCTTCCAGCTCAGCTGGTATGATGTATGAGCCTCTCACCTCTGTGAATTTCAAGACAGCAGGGGGTGAAGACATTACATTGGAGCTGAATAAGAAACAACTGGATGAGATGATTGAAGCTATGGATGCTGCAATCAAGGCTGCTTCTGAACTGCAGTGATGACATTTAGCATTGTGATCAGCATCTACAATTCATGTGCACAGTGTGATATTGTTAGTAGTACTCTTTGGCTATCTGTGTTTGCTAAGATACAACTAATGTTAGCTTCTGGTTTGACTGCATATAATGCATACTGGTATAGTTATGGTAATTACATACACAAAAAAGTGTGGGAGCATTGGGACCATGTCCATGACTATGCTACAGTTTTACAATATTGCATGTGTCTACTGCTGTGATTAACTGTAGGTGTTTGTGCCAATGAAAGGTTGAAATATCAATTATTGTTGAAATCAGTCTGATCACAGGTGCAGCAGTAAGTGAACATTATCTCAGACACAATGCAGAGAAGGGCGGACAAAATATGGGTCAGTGAGTCTGTTTTAGCATTGAGCAGCAAATATTTCGGACCATAAGGGCCAGTCCTGCCTATATTGAGTGAGAATGTTTGCAGGTGGCCTGGATCTTTGCAGTCATGGCTTATGCTGCTGTGCAGTTCTCAGCAATTAATATTCCACTAGCACTATTCTGTAATGGAATTGTGACAAGGCATTGTGGAGTAGAATACATAGAAATTATAATTCAGCTTGCTCTTTTCACTTAAGCATTTGGATAGCTTATCAAATTTGTTGAGATATTTTCAAGTCACTTGTGTCATGTGTTGAGCAGACATTGCAACATTACTGAAGTTTCATGTCTCCATTTGACTAATGCTGAAGGCTGAAATTTACCAATGGCAAGAAAGGTGAAGGAAATGGAAGAAAACTTGACAACAGGGATCGCTACCCATGACCAACACCTGACTGACCTGAGAGATGGAAATTGTGCGGAAAAAGGGGTCAGTGTGTGTGACCGGCGATGTGCCACTGAGCTCGAATCCTCTGCTCCTGGAAGTTTCCAAGGATTGATGGTAAATCTCGGCAGCCACGGAAGACCATGAACTAGGTGGTGTCTGTGAATGTAACGTCTGCGAACGTTGCGCTTGGTCAGTCCAGTCTGACCCACACCAACGCCGGAAGCCGGGCGCCGAGGCGGGCCTGGTGTCGCTGACCTGGGCCCCGGCCTAGAATATGGTACGCTGGGCCCAAACCGTGTGAGTCTTGACAGTGAACGGCATGCAGGCGTGTAACACCCAGCTCACCCAGCCCAGCTCAGACCAACATCCAGCTAAGACTTTTTTGCGGCATTCCGGTAACCAAAGACGAGGACGGTTTCGATTCGTCCATTTTGCCAGCTAAGATGGCCCGGTCCAGTCAACCGGTCTTCAACCCATGTCTCCCATATCTAACTTTGGACGTGAACTCTACCTATGAGTCAATGTACTTGCATCAGGAACTTGTGTATGATGGGCAAAGAGTTACGGCTAACTAGTTGCAAGGTTAAATGTATGCCTCATGTATCGGTAAGAATGTTGTATTTGCACGGGGTCTTTGTGTCATCACGTGAATACTGCTTCACATGTCACCTCGCTAGTCCCACGCCGCCACTTGCGGCGTGGCCTAGCGTACTGTTACACGTTGGTAGACACACGTCAGATCTACAATCCGAAAGCGAGCATTCATATGTGTATTTTCAAGATACTGGTGGCATTGCAATTTGACATTAAAAAAATGAACAGCACACAAGATTTGAATCCCCACTCCTCGTCAAACATGCCAACGCCCAAGTTTCTCGTAAGTTGATTTCCAAGCTAATGCACGAAATCAAATTGGTCAGCATGAGACGGCGAAACACACAGCTTAGAGGCAACTTGTGGCTGCGCACGTCAAGAGCTTGCAGCTTTTCACGCATACACACAGGCGCCAAAACCAGTGTTACACCGTGCAACACAAACAATAAAACAGTTGCACCCTCACGTCACCCCGCACCCCTACGTGTCGGAGTGTGAGATCACGAGCCACGATATCACGAAGTAGAAGAGGAAGATGGGATAGACTCCCAGAGCCTTGCGGGACGCGGGCTGGCTGTCTCCCAAGAACTTGACGGACGCTGAAACAACGCCGCGCGAAGTTCAGACACGCATTCAAACCGAATGAGTTTACATTCATTATCAATCTTCTACGCCCCGATAGTGCGAGTCTACGAGTCCCTGGTACCATTTGTTACCTTCGCCTTTATCTTTATTTTTGGTTACATTTACCTTTATTGTTATATTGTTATCCTCGCATCTGTTATCGTTACGTACCTTTAGGTCCGTAATGTTTCACATTACGGACACACGTCAACAGTTTCACGACAAAGTGGAAAGACAATGCCTGCAACCAATGATGACAATGCCTCTCGCGCAGGCTGCTTCTATACATCGGCACTAAGTGACCTCTAATATATATATATATATATATATATATATATATATATATATATATATACATATATATACACCTAAAACGAATGCTTAAACGATACTGAATCTCGCCCGAACTGCGCGCATGCCGCTACGACCGACCAGAACGCTTACGATCAGTAAGCGATCAACACGCTCGAAATGTCGGTAGATGCACGACGGCTTGCACGGCGACGACCATGAATGGTGCCGCTTGCAACGTTTTATGCCGCGGACGACGGCAACGCAGCCTGAGCCCGACAGATTCACCATGAAAACAAAATCATAGCAAGGTACTTTTAGTTTTCGAGTGGCATGAATTGCTTTCGTCTGCCATAACGTGCCTGGGATTGCAACAGGTCGTGAGGACTCACCATATGTGGCCCAGCCAAAGCCGACGCACGTGAAGAGCAGGCGGAGCACGAACAGCGCTGTCGTCTGCGGGAACAGCAGCACCAGCCAGCACAGCAGCAGTGCCACGATGGTGGGGAACAGGCAGTAGCCCAGCACGCACACGCTCTGGAAGAAAGAACTGCCGCCCAGGAACAGTCAGGCAACCGGCATTAATACGCTGGGCGCTGTTCAGCAGGTAATAGCAGCCAGACCGAAGAGTTCAAAAGAGAAGGAAGGGGCCAGTCTTTTTTTCCAGACGTGTTCGGAACAATTTTTGACCAGTTTGGAGGGCAGCGATGAAAAGTTTGGGTACCTGAGCTAGCGCATGTTTTCCACAGATGAAATTTGAAATTCCTGAATTCGACGGATCAATAATTGTGATCTCTTTCTCGAGGGTGACATAGGTGACAAATTTCTAAAAAGACAACCCGTGTTCTGACAGAAAATGTCCTATATGCCGGGTTTCAAGACCTTTCCGATTTATACCCACTGAAGTGTATTACTGTCGTTCTGGTTTCCAATGGTCATGTTATCTAAGGTCCAAATAGGCCAAACTAAGCAAATGTGACCAGATTTGATCCTTTCAGGGTCGCACGATTTAAACCTTGATAGAATATATCACATGCTTTGGATAGGAAATGCATCACTTGCGCGATTCTCCCTTTGATTTCAAATTACTGGTTATGTGCAGCCAGCAAAACCAATCCAGGAAACCAAATAACATTGCACCATGGTTTCATAGCGCATAATTTTCCAAGTAATTATGATAACAGTTGGTTGGTGTATCATGCAAAACGAGCATGGTTGGAGACAGTATTGCATTCATCTCAGGTGCGCTTTAGATGCGAAACATCCACGGCAAATATGAAAACAAATGTGAGCCAATTAAAACCTTAACGTGGCTCTAGAAAAACGCAGTGTTTTTTGCCACAAAGCAGAGTCACCACGGTGCAGCCGGGCCACGCGACGTCATGGGTTATAAACCGAACCTAACACGGGTCGTCGGGCTCGCGTGGAGCACGCGGCCCGGGGCAACCGGGAGTCCGGCGCGCACAACGTATGCTTGTGATGAGCAGATCCAAGAAGAAAACAGCCATTCAAGAGGCGATTACTTAACAAACAAAAAGCACTGAGACACCCATAACGTGGCAACCAGCACCGCCTGATCCAAGCAGTGCTTATGACGTGAGGATGACAAGAGGATTAGGCACGTCGCTACAGCATCACAACAACCAGCACCGCCTGATCCAAGCAGTGCTATAACGTGAGGATGACACGAGGTTTAGGCACGTCGCTACAGCATCACCAGGTTCCCCTCGTGGTCCATGGAAGCCTGTTGGCCGGCCAGAGCGGAACTCACATGGATCCGCCCAGCAGCTTGGTGTTGAGCGTGACCACGGCCGAGCCGATCCAGATGATAACGAACACCTCGGCGAACTCTGGGCCGCCGTCGTTGGCGGCCACGCCGGCGGCGGCCGGCTCCGGCGCGCCTTGCAGCATCACGGCCAGCACCGTGCACAGGATCAGCGGGCCCCAGAGGTCCCCTGACGCCGGGGCGAACGGCGGCCGGTTACACGCCGACAAGCCGCAGGGACCCACTCAAACACATGGCAGGCACGAAAACTGCTGACAAGCAGCGGAACCCCATACAACACCCACAGCTCAATAAGATGCAAGCCACAATTTCTTAAAAAGACGACCAGAAAGCGCAATGGCACCCACCTTCACGCAGTGAAAACACGATCTCTGACAAATGCCAGAAAAGCAATCAAACATTGCAGTTTGAAAAGGGGACGAGCTGAATACCCTCAAAACGAGGCATTCTACTATGCAACATAAATATTCAACTTATTTTCAGGTTGATTCTACGGAGTCAGCGCAATTCCTTCGAAGGAAATGCCAGTCGAATAATGTCAAGTGTTTATACGATGGCTTACATTCCTTAGCAGTGCTCCTTCTTCTCCCGAGGGTAATAACGTGCCAAAACTTCGTCCGACCCGCCTTCAAATCACGCATCTGAAATGTCAATGTGACGTGGTTTAAGAGTTGAAAAGCACTCAAACGCACAAAAAAATGCTCCGTAGCCAAAGACAGATCATCAATTAGAAGCATACTGACCGATGGATAAATGGGTTTTAGGACCACCAGTGAATAGTCATATGCAAACATGACACACAAAAAACGTTGCAGGACATTGGCGAAAACCAAGCAAAAAAAAACCAATCATCTAGACAAAACAGTGTTGCGTCGCCCGATATCTAATACGTCAGCACGTTAAAACTGCGCGAGGCACGTTTGGCCAGACCGCAGCGCGCTCGACCGCCGCGCACGCCAGTGGCGGCAGCGGGCTGCGGCGGCTTTCCCGCCACGCACGATCGTCTGTCGGATGGGCTCGTCCAAGTGTTGTACTCCACCGAGCCGTCGGGCCCGGTGACGGGACTGGCCCGGCACGCTTAACTTGGCCGCCGACGTCCGACGGATCCATGCTGGACTCGCTCGTAACATCTGCCGGCCAGAACAGCGACACATCTCGTAAATCACGAGTAGTACGGATCAAAACAGAAAGACATGTTTTTGTCACTGTTGCTGCCCACATGTGAACGCACCGGGCTGGTGCATCGGTTTAGGATCAGTCATATCGCACGCAAATCAGTAGGTAACGAAGTGCGTGCAAATGAACACTCAGTTCCATGTTCACATATTTTGTCCGTCTCAATGTAAAATTGGCAGCTAACCGATTTTCAGCCCCAGCTTCCATGTTCAAATCGGTTGGTAGTAGGTACCGCACTACGCGCAAATGAACACTCGGTTTGATGTCCGTACATATTTGTTCGTCGAAATGTAAACTGCCAGTACTTGTTTTCACCCGCATCTTCGTGTCAATTAGAGCAGCAGAGACCAATTTGGGCGTTTTTCATACTTACAATAAGGAGCTCAGTCGTTAGTTCTAGAAACTACTAACATCCCAGAGCATGTGTGCCCGTCACGAATTAGTGGTCCCGTATGGCTTTTCGCTACTACAGAGAACGATGGATGACGTCTGGAAAAAATTATGAGTCATGCTACATATTTGAGAAACACGAAGAACTGGAGAGCGGTCTATCTTGGACCTGATTAAACTCTGGATGAATATAATTGACTCAACCAGAGGACATTTGAGATTAAAATCAGAAT